CCGCTCTTCTGTCTCCGTCTTTGCACCTTCCACCCATCGTCCCCAAGTAAAAGACACGCAAAATCACCCCCTCTGTTTGCAGCTCCCTTTAACATTAGTCCCCAAGGCACTCAAGCAATGAGCTGCACGGCTCTTTGCTCAGGTAGGACGAGTAAAATCCCCGACACCGAGCCTCTCAGGACCCGATTCCTCCCCCTAACCCCACATAAATGAAGGATTCCCTGCCACAGGGGAAGCATCAGGACCTTCGAAAGCAAACAACAGATTCAAAGGCTATTTGGCAAATTACACTTCATTATTTACTGGATTTGGCTGGAGAGGGCACGGAAAAACGAGCAGCCACCTTCGCTATCTCTGCTCTCCATCTGCTGCTTTGAGATAAGACTGGGAGAAAGTGGTTGGGTGCCCCTTTCCCTTCATCCTCATGTTACATTTTAATGCTTTGCTTTCTGTGCTCTGTGGTTACAGGGACCACCCAGGAATCCGCTCCCCTCCGCCGGCTGGTTAAACGGCAGTTCACTGCTCCCGGGTGCTATGGGAAGATGAGTCAGAGTTAGGCTAAGAAAACATTTCTAACCCCAATTTTTACACTGAATCACTCGCGAAAACCTGCGCAGAGATGACCTCCTTCGGCAAACCACAAAGAGCAGCAGGGCAAGGTGAGGGGCGTGCAAAACTGTATTTTTTCATCATATTTCTGCAATACAAGCGAGTACCCACCACCGATGCCCTCGGTTTTCTCCTGCAGGACTCAGGCGGTTGGGTTTGCACATACCCAGCGAATCAATTTTTCAGTAGCGGCGGATAAGGTTTCGGTTTAGTAAGGTGAACGCTGAGCTCTGCACAAACAACACGTCAAAACAGGGAAGACTTAAAAGTGGTTCCCAGGGAGAGGTCATCGGGGAAGCAAACAGTCTATTTTCAAATATATATTCAAAAAAAAAAAAAAAGAAGTAGCAAAGTGCCAGAGGAAGGTTTCTATTTAAGCACCAAAATAAACCAAAATGTGCATTTCAAGGCTTCTCCTTCAAAACACACTGCAGTCGGTAGACTGAGGGTTGAAACACCATCTACATTTTTTTCCTGTTAGACCATAGCCGCTAGCTAAAATTTCTTCAGAAGACAAAACAGCCCAAAAGCCCCAAGCCCGCTAACGCTTGCAGAAGCCTTATTTTAGTCAGCAGCGTCCCACATCTATAGCAAAGCTCACACGTGTAAAACTAAACGTGCTGGTAAAGCTCTGCATACGTGTTTGTGGACAAGTCGTTGCCGCGTGAGCTGCAAGAGGCAGCGGGGAACGGACAGTTTTAAACCTAAATTCTGCCTCTGCTGGTTTTGAGATGTTGAATTTACTTAAATATCATTTTCTGTGTTAATCTTGGAGCGTCCTGGGGGCACGATGGGCTTTACCCGGCTCTGCCCGATGCGACTTTGCTGGAGTTCACAGAATCACAGAATCACAGCATGGTAGGGGTTGGAAGGGACCTCTGTGGGTCATCTCGTCCAACCCTCCTGCCAAAGCAGGGTCACCCAGA